GTTTTTTCACACCTGCTTTTACTTTAGTTTTAGTTTAGTTTTAACTTTGATTATTTCCTTTGCTGACAGCAGCCAAAAGTTGCAGTTGATGAGATGCCTGCACACTGAATTTCCAATATTTCCCCCCTCTTGAATCCCCTTGAATAAGCATTAAGCAAAATAAGCAACGCTTGTTTGACTTTTTCATAAAGCTGAAGATCATATGAGCAGTTGCACAATCAGTCCTAATTCCACTGAGATGACGAATCATATCAGTTAGTCCTGACACCCATTAACGTTATCTCCATTTACTTTTCAGGTCGAACACTAATGTCATAAATACAACGGGCCTATTTCAAGTGAGTGAGCACTTAATTGTATCCGTAGGTTTCTGTAAATGAAAAAGATCACATGAATTTAGCCTGATTTGTGTTTTACCAGGGAATGGAAGTGTCATGCGTGACAAAAACTGAAATAAGGTAAGTGAAGTAAAGACATTCAAGTCATTGAAATAAGCATATCTCACGATCCCTACATTAACACTGATCTTACGCTGCAGAAACACCACGTGCTCTGTGATGCTGAAGCTGAGTCAGGCGGTGTCTTCATGTTGTATCCTCCGCACTCTCTGCGTAGCCACTAACACTTCCTCTGATTTTCACGTGCTGGGGAAAAAGGCAGATAGAGTGGGTGAGTGATGCATAGTTACCTACCTGATACGTTTGCAGGATGTTATAAAAGTAACAATGTAATAAATCCTCTGTGTCGCTTTAACAGGTCAGCTTAAAAATGTGTGCAATAACAGCAGCACAGTGGAAAACAGCTGCATTTATACTGGTCAAGACAACGCAGCATGGTAAGATCCTCAGTACGGGCAGTCTGTGCTTTCCCAAGTGCTAAATGTTAACTGATTAATCAAAGATAAATTATACTTTTTAAATTCATACTTTAGTTTTGTGAAATTTCATGTTTGTTTGTTTGTTTTTTACAGTAACAAGTCTGCAGCTGCATATGTGGTTCCACCAAGTAATTCAACTAACTGCAGTGCAGGTGAGCTCCAAACTATTCAATGTAAGCATAGTTAAGCTCAGTTTAAATGGACCAACATCATTGCATCAATACATGAATTAGACTGTTACTGTTACTGAAACCTGATGAAGCAACACACTTGTGTTAAAAGACACCAGGAAGTACTTCAGGGCATGTCAGGAAACACACATTTCAAAAGAATAATATTAATTAAGTCTCAGTTACAGTTAACATTATACCTGGATACCAAATCGTGTGGACACACTACAGAGCATTTGAGGGTTATATAGGATTAATTGTTCTGTGAGTGTTTTAGCAGATGCCTAAAAATAGAAAATGGTTAAAAACCCTGTTCTGTACAAAGCATCTGGTTAATTTAGCTTATCATAATAACTGGAAACATAAGGAAACTCATTTGATTGCATGCCAGGTTAGCCAGCAGCTCGGGGTTGCTTCATACTTGCAATACAGACAATTAAAAACTGAACAAATAAGATTGTAAAAAAGCAAAATGCACAAGATTCTTCTTATAAATATTTTTTCTAAATGTATTTTTCCCCTAAAGTGTAAAAGTAGAGTCTTGAAGGTGCCTTGATTCGATCCACACTGTAAACCATCATGCTTTGACTTTGTTTCAGGCAACATCACCACAAGCAACTGCAACTGCTCCGACTACTGCAGTGGATCAGGTTAGTGTGATGTCACCTATCAAAACCATTTGCATTATGACGTAAATCACACAGTGAAAAGTGAAAGCTTGGTGACTTGATTATCTTTCCTTTTTTTGTTTCTTGGTTTTTTAGATGCGTACTACACTTTTAACATTTCCATACAAGATCCCAATATAAACTATTTAAATGTCACCAACCTGGTAATCTTCCATTCACACAGAACACAAATACATATAAATAAACAAATCACTAATGTAAAAATCATATGAATAAATTCTTGGAGCATCAATGAATCATTAATATCTTCAACTTTAACAGAGTTCTCAGCTGCAACATCTTCCACCTTGCTCCCAAAGTGCAATGTAAGTCTTGTTTTTATAACCAGCTTTTAAATAAATAAATACATTTTTATCAAATGTAAAATACAAAAAATAATAACAATCTTGTAATATTCCCTTGCAGAGGGCTATGTCCAGTGTCCATTATTGCATCTGAGTACAAGGTATTCAACCACCAAATTATGAAATTTTTCTGTCTCTGTTATGATGATTTAGAGCAAAACCAAGTTTTCAAAATGTAAGTAAGGCATTTAGGTTGCATTTATTTGACTTAAAGGAGATACAGTAAAAACATTGTTGTGTATTCATCTAGATTAACATCTTCTGAGTTTTTAATTTTTGAGGATATCAGCTGTAGAGATGTCGTTTTGTCAGTATTGTCATTTTGAAATTCGACAGTAAATACTCCAGTTTCACATGACAAGAAACTCACCATGTAATGGCATCCCACAGGAAAAATATAGTTTATGTCCAAAGGAATTTGCATTTCATGTGTTATTATTATACTAACATGTTAAAAATGTTTTAGTAGTTTCTTTTATTACATTCATTTAAAGATATTTTTCTAAAACTGACGTTTCTACACAGGACGCAAACGTGGCATGTGCAAACACGTCAACAAAGTGAGTCCAGTTATGTTATTTCAGAACATTTGTCTAAAGCTCACATTAAATCTCGCCGATGCATCTGTTGCGTTTGAACACTAGGCTAAAATTGTTGTTGTTGTCTTTTTGTTTTTTCAGTTATAGCCTTCAAAGCTGTACCGTGATTTTGGCCTTTGCCCGTGAGGTCCCCGTCTGTGATGTAGCAAATGCTGTGGTGTATCTGCTCCAGTCTAAGAAACAAATCAGTTTCAACGGGCATGTGATCCGAGCGGGTGTGTATACAAACCAAAATAAAACAAGATGAGGACTGAAATATCAGCTCAAGCAGTCAAAAAATAAGTGTCGACTTGTGCTGCAAAGCTTCTCATTGGTGCTTTTGTGTTTTCACAGCAATTTGTGGAAATTTACAAGCCAATGTCAGCCTGCAGTCTCAGTTTACATGGGTCAGCACTGACATAAAGCCTGCAGATTTCTGTGCTGCAGCAAAGTCTAGCAGCCTTACTTGGTTTGTATGACCTTAATATCCTGCACACTAACCACATTTATACAAAATGTGCTGCAGCAGATCAAAAGGATCCAAAATAAAATGTTTCTTCTTTATTTCTTTTTAATAGTCAAAAACAAAACAATGTGGTTATGCAGCTGCAGGACAGTTGTGATCTTCAAAACGTGTCTACCACCACAGCCAACCCAAATGTGACAACCGTGCAACCGAACAGCACCA